CATTTTCACTGTTACTCCAGCTCTGGTAAGCGCTCTCGGATTCCTGCAATACCTTTGGTTCTGCATTAGCTTATTCCCGCTGGAGGTAGACGACGAGATTGTCGAAGATCATCAATCAGGAAGAGGTATGATTGCGCCTAACCTGCGCTTTACTTGCGCTTTCGTTGCGTTTAAGTTATATGTTAAATTTTAGGGTTTGGTTTAGTTATAATTTTACCAATGTTTGTTTAATGTAATGTACTGTTTAAATATTTATTTTCTGATTTTCACGCTTCTTCTCTTCGTAAATGGATGAAGCAAATGATACGAAAGGTTTACGCTTTCTGCTAAATTTTAGGGTTTAGTAATAGTTGTATAACTAGCATATATGTTCAATGTGGTGTTCAATTTTTTTTTTTCTGAATTTAAACCTTCTTTTAAGCTAAATAATTATGAAATGTATTGTTGCGCTAAGGTTGTGCTAAGGTTGCGCTATGGTTGCGCTAAGGTTGCGCTATGGTTACGCTAAGGTTGCGCTTAGGTTGCGCTTAGGTTGCGCTATTGATGCGCTTTAGTTATGTTTGCGGTATAGTTCTGATTTTTTTTTTGTTATAGATGAGGACGCCGTATCAAAGGCCAGTAACATCTAGATGTTATGTTACTTCTTTTTCGGAAACATTGTGATGCTTTTGTCGAGATCATTGGTGATGAAGTGGAGCAAACATTAAAGAATCTAAACATTTATCAATTTTTTAAGTTCCTCGCATTCCAGCAGTGTATACCACTTCTTTTTGAGGTTCTCAAATTTTGGAGTCCTGCTGATGAAGGCTTCATCGTCCTTGGTCATGTACTGAAATTCACTTCTGATGAGGTTGCTTTGTTGATAGGTAATATTTTTAATATGGAATTTTTTATAGCTATATGTTTTTTTAACTTTAACAATAGAAATTTTCTAACAGGTTTGCCAAACAGAGGCATTGATATCAAATGGAGGATTGATCCTCTAAATGGACCTCTGTCAACTAAAATTAAAACAGAAATGTCAAAAATAGACAGATTATTTGATAATGCTAAAAAAATAAAGACCTTTATTATATTTTTGTTATCTAACCTTTTCTTTCCACTAAACAACCATAAAACCCCTAGATGGCTCACTTCTGTTGCAAATAATTTAAGTGAGTTCACTTCCATTAATTGGGCTTCATGCTTAAGGAACTTCATGGTCGGGGAGTTCAACACAATTTTTGAGAAGTTTCAACTGCAAAGACCATTGGGTTACATCAATGGTTTTTTTCCTCTTCTACTGGTAAGTTTCCACTCCTACTGGTTATTCTACATGTATAATGTTTTTTAATGTTAACTTTAAAATTTTTATATTTGGCATTATACAGATTTGGTTTTTTGAACATTTTTCTTTGAATAAACCTTCCGATCCAGAAATAAGAAGCTGCATATATCTAGTTCTGCCTCCAGCTTCCAATCAGTGAAAAATACAGCTTTGCATCCTTCAGAACAACCACCAATTCAAGATGTTACTCCACCTCCACTATTGGCCAAAGGACTTCTTCCACAACCACCAATACCTCCACCTCCACCATTGGCCGAAGAATTTCTTCCACAACCACCAATACCTCCACCTGCACCATTGGCCGAAGAACTTCTTCCACAACCACCAATACCTCCACCTCTAACATCGGCCAAAGAACATCTTCCACAACCACCAATACAAGATGTTCCTCCAACACCACCATTGGCCAAAGAAGATGTGCCACTACTAAAAGATAGTTCATCACAAAAAAGAAAAAGAGAAGATGATAAAAAAGCAGAGAGTTCATCGAAACAAATCATACCATATGTAAAAAAGAAGAACAAAGAGGTTATCTCTGTTGATAATATAGTAATTGAGCCATGACCTGCATTGGAAATTATGGATTATCCAGGGAAGCCTTTTCTAACAGAGCAAAAATAACAATTTATGGATGAATGTTTCAGAAAATTTAATAGAAAGTAAGTTTAGTTGCGCTATGGTTGCGCTATGGTTGCGCTATAGTTGCGCTATGGTTACGTTATGGTTGCGCTATGGTTGCGCTATGGTTGCGCTATTGTTGCGCTATTGTTGCGCTATGGTTATGCTATTATTGCGCTTTAACATTATATTTTTCTTTTTTTTTTTAGGGACCACATGATATTTGCATCTGGAAACATAGAAATAAAAAGATCAGATATTGACTTTCTGCTCACAAATGATTGGTTAGCAGATAACCATGTTGATGCTTTTTCTTTCTTTTTACTTGAGTAGAGTAGGTTAATGGCAGACAAATTTCAACGTTACTTGTACGTTTCTCCATTGTACAGGGTAAGTATAAATAATATTTTAATCTTTTTTTTCACGTTTATTTTTCCTTATAGAACTGAATTATTGCAGGTATACAAGTCATTCAATCAAGATTATCAAATTTTTATCCAACACATTAATCCAGTTTCAGTTAAAGAAAGCAAACTTATTGTTCAACCCATAATTTTTGAAAAGCATTGGGTTCTTCTTATAGGAAAATTGAGGGAGAAAGTCTGGAAAATGTATGATTCATTACCAAATCCTGAACACAAGAATATTTGTCATACAGTTGTAAGTGCAATTCATATTTTAAGTTAAATCCAGATAACTATGTTTATATACATAATAAATTTTTAAAATATTTTATTTGTACAGATAAAGTATTTGCACGAGGACACCATAGGATGCTTTTCAAGCGATATAACGAAATGGAACGTATAGGCGGTTCATGGAATTCCAACACAAACAAACATCTATGATTGTGGAATGTTCATTTGTAAATATATGGAAAAGGCCGTGCAACGAAAGAAAACAGACTGGAAAGCTTTAAAAGATTGGCAAACGCATATGCCAAAATTTAGGGCAGAGTTAGCATATTTTCTTTTTCTTCAAACAAGAAAGTAAACAATCTGTAACTTAATCTAAATATTGTCCATGAATTATAAATGTACATTTTATTATGTTATTATATATTTTCTTATTTGTTGTATAATATGTGCATATTCTGTAACTTCTAACAAAGAGAAATCATATTCTGTAACTTCTACATTGTGCATATTATGTAAAGCGCAACATTAGCGCAACCTTAGCGCAACCGTAGCGCAACCGTAGCGCAACATTAGCGCAACCTTAGCGCAACCTTAGCGCAACCATAGCACAACCGTAGCGCAACATTAGCGCAACCGTAGCGCAACCTTAGCGCAACCGTAGTGCAACCTAAGCGCAACCTTAGCGCAACCTTAGCGCTAGGTCAATAAGTCCAAATAAATATTTTTACATTGAAAATTCAAATAAATATTACATTACAAATTCAAACTTTAGCGCAATTTTATTACAACCAATAAATGAAATCAATAAGTCCAAATAAATATTATTACATTGCAAATTCATTAAATTCCAACTCCGAAGAAAGAAAATCCATCATCAACTTGGTGTATTCAGCTCCAGGTTGGCATGATGGTATGCCGGTTATATATTCCTCACTGAAACATTCAGGCATGCTTGAAAAGTTCATCTGTGTTGAAGAAGGTTGTGTTGAAGAAAGTTCATCTATTGGGTTATCCCCCACCAAAGGTTTCATATATGTAAGAAATAGAGTTTTAGTCTTAGGATTAGGAATTAAATAATTAACAAGTTATTAAAAACATACTCTTAGGCCGTTTCTTCTTCTCCCAATGGCTTTTCAGTCTTGCATTTGATATGCCTTTAGGTCTACGCTTTAGAGGATCTTTCAAATTTGCAGTTCCACCTTGGGAACTAGCAACATCCTTCTGATTTCTTTTCTTGCCACCAAGAATTAAGTATAATTTTTTATACATGTCTTGCAATGAGGAAAGAATAAACTCCTCTGCCTCCTCATTCCCTTGAGCTTCCGTGCTCATTTGATATGCAAACCTGCTCACCTGATTTCTGAATATGAATCCCCTACCACTTTGGAAATTATTACTTTTTTGAGAATTAAGCAAGTAACTTGAATAAAAAACTTGTCGAGCCCTTGCTGACCAACGAAGTAATAAGTACTTCTCAGGGAATTTAGCCATATCCAACTGTTTAAAAACCCTCAAACAATGAGAACACAGCAATCCCATGGTTTCATACTTCTTACAGCTGCATTGAATGTTACCTTCTGTTGCATCAAAGTGAACAACCCAAGGATGGTTTGGATTCTTTTTCTCTATGTAGTTGACTATAAACTTTGAAGAATCAGTCGAGACAAAATCTATAATCATTTCTCCCACAGCCTTTATAAATTCTTCCTCAAAAATTGAATATATTCTTCTTGAGTAAAATCTAGCAACTTGTTTTAATATTGAGCTGTTCTTTATCACGGGAATAATTTCAGATTGACCGCATTTGTAATCCTCATCCTGCTCATTTCACCGCCAATTCATCAGTACCTTTTCCAAGCCAAGAAAACAATCAGTTAATGAACTTGTTAGCTTTGAAATGCCATGCCACACATTATTAGTACACTCACTACGTTGCGTTGATAAAATGCCCATGCAAAAGGAATCCTTGTTGAAAGCAGTTGACTACTTTTTCCTTATCTTATAAAGATCCTGCAACCATTCATGGTTATGAAGATTCCCTTCCTTGATCATTTCATCCCACGCTTCCTCAAACACTTCCTCAGAATCACACCACCTCATACACTTATGGAAGAGTCCTCTAACTTTATTATTGCTATTGTAGATGGAAACTTTTGATGGAACCTTTTTAAAGATGTGCAATTGGCATAATCTATGACGAGTGTGAGGTAATGCAACTTCTATGGCCCTAGCCATAGCTTGGTCCTGATCAGTGAATATTGTTGTTGGATATTTATTATCCATTATTCGTACAAATATTTTAAACAACCATGTAAAACTTTTAATTATTTCTTCTGACAAAAAAGCAAGCCCAAACAAAATATTCTGCCAATGATTGTTAACACCAACAAATGGCGCACAAATAAAATTATACTTGTTCAGCCTGTAACTAGTATAAAAATCAACACATCTCCAAAACATTCATAATCTATCATGCTTCTACCATCAACCCAGAAAAAATTTAACAATCTATCCTGATCTTCATATTGAACATCCCATGCGAACATATGGTCCTCAACTTGTCGATCTTTAAATAATTGAATCAAAGGATTAGTGTCACCAATTTCAATCCTTGCTCTTTTCTCCTTCTGAATAAAATTATAGGCATCCCTCTTAGAGAATCCGATATTCTCACATCCACCAACTTCCTCTGCAAGGTAGGCATATGCATCAACGGTTTTAATCCCTACATCTGTCATCAATTTTAAGACGGAAGCTTTTTCCTCAATAATATTCCTACATGATCTTAAAAGGTGTCGGTCGGCTGGGCTAGCTAATTCATGGTTGTGGGATTCAATAAATCTTTTGACATGCCAGTAACCATCTTCATCTGTGACAAACCTCACCATGGCTGGACAACCTGTTCTGACAACTGGTCTAGTGAATCTCTTTCCCTTTCCTGAATTATGATCATCACTTTTCTTGAAACCAGCTTTTGAACAAACAAAGTCCTTCAATTTTATCTTTCTAGAATTTGGCCAAAAACTGTGATGATTCTTTCGGACACTAAAGCCATTATCGTGAGCATAAGTGCAAAAACATTCATATGCTTCTATCTCATCTTTATAAACAGCCTGAAAGCGCAAGTAAAGCGCAACTAAAGCGCAAGTAAAGCGCAAGTAAAGTGCAACTAAAGCGCAAGTAAAGCGCAACTAAAGCGCAATGAAAGTGCAACGAAAGCGCAACAAAAGCGCAACTAAAGTGCAACTAGATATCAAACAAGTTCAATTTTTTTATTTATCATCTTCATCCTAAAATCAATAATGAAATCTAAGCAACAACAACATTAGATTTTTTTTTACTTTTTTGACAAAAGAAATTTAGTCGCAAAATCAAAGATCCTAAGACTAATGAACATAAACCTACGTCTTCTTTCTGCGGCGATGATATTAAAACTGAATGCTTACAACTTTTTAACTTGGTTTTTCAAAAAACTTAACGATATGTTGAAACTAGAGGAATTTCCGGCTAAGTTAGGTTCCGATTCTGATTCATGCACCAGCCCTTCCGATTCATGCATCCTTTCCGATTCATGCACTCCCTCTTCCATGCCCTATTCCACCTCCCTCTTCGCTGAGCAGTCCATTTCTTCTCTGCAATTTTCAGGCTCATTTTTTCTTCTGCAGCAGTAGATATTTGCATCTTTCGCGGGTATCAAAATGCAAAAATAGGGCGGCAAATGCTTAAAAGTTCAAATGAAATGCTTTATCGGGTCGAGTCGCTAACTCTGACAAGACATAAAGCAAACATATTAAATTAAAAAAACGTCTAACAGATGTCGCATTTCTATTGGCGACCGAACGGAGAGATGGCTTCGGTCACCTGACCCATTAATTTTTCCTCTTCCTGAAGGGATTCCGGACTTCAACGGTTTTGGCTCTCACACATAAAAGAAAAGGGGCGGATCTCCTTCCTGGCTTCAGTTCTGGGGTGGAGACCAGACGCTGGCTTGAACCTCCTACCACCACCGGTCTCCTCTCTTCCAGCTGGCCATGGTGGCTTCTTGTAGCTTCCGCGAATTGCAGCCATTCTCACATCTCAACGACTGACCTTACACCGCCAGACTCGTCCGGCCGGATTCCCACGCCGACGTGACCTCACCGACCCCGACACTCCTCTGTAGTCGAGTTCTTGTTGTCGACGCTCAATTCAATGCCCATGGTAAAGCTTTTGGTCGGTGCCGTCTCCATGCCAGACTCCAACTAAACTTGCAACCGACCCCTCGTTCATTGCCACAAGCCATCCCATCCGCCTCAGGCTGTCGACCTGCCAGGCTCTACCCAGCCAGACCTCGTCATCGGTGCCTAACTTGCAAGCTCGTCGATGAGCCATTTCCTCACTGGGAAGGTAACGAACTCCCTCATGCTTTTGTACTGAGTTGGTTGAGTATGCTGGTTCTTAACCTCAAGGGGAAATGGAATGGAAATGGGACTCTGTCTGGTGCGAGATTCAAAGTAGCCATTTTTATTACTGAATGATCGTCCAACTTATATTTGTTTGTACACTTGACTTGAGTCTAGAAGCTATAATGGACTTTTTTTTTCTATCTTCAAAAGTACAGTTACTGTTGCACTTTGAATGGGTATTTTGGTGAATAATACTTGTTTGGATTCAAACTCCATTATAAAAAAAAATCTAAAACGTCTTATATAAATACCATATGATAGTTATTCTTTTATTCTTCTTTATAGCACTCATGTTACAGGAATACAATATTACATCTATATTGTGATTATAATGGGCTTTTCATTATGGCTTAAATAGTTTATGCATAACTGAAGAAATTAGAAAGATAACGTTGTAAATGCTAATTTTAGGTACTTACATGCTCAATATTGGAAGGCTTTTCTTTCCCAACTCATTAAGTTATTAAGATAAATCTCATATTCACGATCCATTCGAGTTGTTGAGATTATTTTGTCTTGCTTAAGAATTATGAAATATCTCATGATGGTATATACAAAATTTAATACTATAGAGTTAAGATTTTTTTTATTATGTTGTACATTGAATGATTCATTGTATTAAAACTTTGAATAAGTTTATCTAAGTATAAACTTGATATATGTTATGCATATCATATATTATCAATGATACACTTGTATATTTGTCGAGATTGAAATTGCATTCTAATAGTTGAACGACGAATCATGTCTTAATTTGTACATATTTCAAGCATTATATATGCTTTATTAGTTCTCTCAATGAAATAAAATCGTCTCATAGTTAAGCTTATATCATTTCTTATTTAATTTGGGTATTAACAAGAATCAAGACATTGTATTTATATTTTCTCATAATCTTGATGGTTAATAAACTTAAAGCAATGGAAAACCTTGTGGCATTACCATTATATTTTGAAATATCAAACTTATATAGATGACTATTCATATCGTTTTCAACTCATCGTTTCCTCTTTAATAAAAATCATTAACGAATAATGATTGTACATATCCTATGTTATTATTATTATTATTATTATTATTATTATTATTATTATTATTTCATATTTACATGAAAGTATTGAGTTGATGTTCAATAAAAAATGAATTTTGTGTAAATGTTAGCTCTCCAAATCTTAATGTGATTGATTAGCTTCACGAAACTCATTTGCATGTATTTGACACAAAATAAAAGGCTATGTTGGACAAGTTGCACTCTTTTATATGTCATTAGCGTATGTTTGGTCATGAAAGGTTTGTGAAGAACTGTTAGAAGATTCTTGTGTGATCTTCTTTATACTTCATGGAAATATATATTCACATGTTTAAAATGTATCGTGTTTCTTCTTCAACTTTCTTTACCAATGTTAGTGAATGTTCATATGTGTTATTATGATTTCTTTTTCTCATATTTTCTACGATAATGAATCTTCATGTTTAATGTAGTTAGATTCTCAAATGATTTATGTGCGCTTATTCTCCACGCTTCATGTTAGAGAACTCTTCCAATGTTTTACATTCTATGATAATGTGTATGTATTATATAAGTGCAAATATTGAATGGTTTATTATTTAAATTTCATTTATTTACATTTCTTTTGAATGGTGCCTACTCTCACCTTGTTCTCTCTTTGCATTGCTTGCGAGGTGCATTTGGGAAATCAAAGGAGAAGGATTGTTGCAGTTGCTGTGACGAAGGAGCCTACATAAATAAATCAGTCGCCCCCATTCATTTCGGTGGGGGTGCTACGGGCGGAACCACCGGGTTATAGCCCCCAGTGCTGTAAGTTTTCTTAAAAATTTAGAAAACCTCTAGGGGCCTAGATGATTGCATGCTTCCCACCCTTTAGAGCCTTGTAGAAACTTCATTTAAAATTAGGATTGCTTATCTTTTATTAGATCCATAAACTTGTTGACATACGCATAGAAGTCTTAAGGGTTAGAACATAACACTGCTTTTAGTCCTACAATTTTAGCGACACCTAAGGACAAAAATTAAGGACCGAGTCTTAGAAAATATAGACTTAGGGCGCATGCTCTCTATAGGATAGAGACATTAAAATAAAAACTTAGTGACACGCTTTCCTAGATTTGATTTTTTTATTTTCTTAATTCACTAATAATCCACCAACCATTTATAACATAACTCTTAAAAATATGTTTAAAAAGTAATTAATTCTTAATCAAATTATAATTAATATTTCACAATCATTAAAGTATAAATCTAAAACATAAATCTAAATCCAATATAACTAATCTAATAATTAACTCCTAACCAATCTAAAATTTAAAATAAGTAGATTTAATTAGGAGATCAAATCATATACTAAAACTCATTAGGATAAAAAAAATACTTCTAAATATCAAACCTTAAAATAATCTTTAAAATCAATCAACGAATCTCCTTTTAATAGAACACCTAATATATTTTTACTTTCTAATTTATAACCAATTAAAATAATTTGACAAAGTTAATTATCACTGGATAACCCAGGCCTACAAGGCTATTATGTTAGCCCCAAGGAGGATGAAATAAACCTCATAGCCTCGGTGTGAAAATAAGGTGGTAATCAATCAAATTTTAAAATAAAATCTTTAAAATTAATCTTAAAATACTAAGATTTGAACTTTAATTAAAATTCCCTTTGCCTTTTCAACAAACCAGAATGTAAGCAACTTTAATTAAACTATCCTATATAGGACCTACCAAAACCACACAACCCACACACACTTAGACTTGCTTGTTAGGACACGACTACTAGCTTTAGGTTAGGCCGATGTTCTGTCTTTCTTTTCTGTGCTGTGTTGTGATGTCTTGCATACGACCCGTGTGTTCGTTGCTTTACTACTTGTGTTAGCTTTTCTGTGGTACTTTCTGTGACGCTTTTTCTGTGACATTTTTTCTAGCTTTCTTTTTGCACTATTGTTGTGAGCATTAGAATACTCATAGGTTAGGCATGCTTTTTCATACTAATATTGTCTTCTTGCAGGTGGCCGTGCTCACACAGCACTAAAGGGGGCTAAAATTAATAATAATCATTTTTAACTGCTTTAGGTACTCGCTTAATTTTCTTAGCCCCCAATAATTTGAGCACGGCCAAGTGTGATTTATTTTCAGTTTTTCACTTATATATAACTGCTTGGACGATTTTTGATTTTGATTATAACTGCTTAGGATAACCCCTACAGGAGAGTCTAGATTTTCTTTTCTTTCTGATGTAATGTATTTTGTAGTAATTATTGGAAAATCATTAAAATAAGGCATTTTAAATTTAGAGGGGGTCCAAAGGGAAAAGAAAACTCCTACAGGGGGTTTCCTTTTTCATTTGGACATCCTTTTGGGAGCACACCCTATGAGGAGCCTGAAGGAATGAAGATGATCCATAGACGAATCAAGAAAGGCAAGATGCAGACTGAAGATATAAAATGCCTTATTTTAAGATTTGCGTCGTTCCCGGGTTGTTGTCGGTGGTGCCCGGCCACTATTACTTTTCTGTACTTTGTGATGTAATATTGTATGGCACTTGCCATGGACACTCTCTTTCCTGGGCTTTCTTTGTTTTTGCTATATTTTCTTTACTTTACTTGCGCATTAGAACTGCATGATTTTTCCTAGGTTTCTTAAATTGCTTTGTTTGAGTGTGGCTCGGACGGAGTCAACGTTAGGCTCTTTAGGATGTTAAATTTTTTATAAAGTTAAAATTTTCTTAAGCAAGATAAATAGTGAATATAGGATTAAAATCAACTAATTTTTCTTAAAAAAAAATTAATGCATGACTCCTTTAAAGGGTCACTTCTTAAAATTATAATAAGTAAGCTCTGCTCACTTCATAGTGACTATTGGCCAATCCTAATTGGCCTTACCCTCTCATGCATAGCCTTGAGTCAGCATATAGATTTTTCTTTTGCAACATAGAGGTATAGTTGACTTTGCATTACATAGTATCATTCATAGTCGGGTTTGATACCCATTTCCTTTTCTTTCTCCTACAACTCTTGCATTTGCATAAGACTTGATAACATGGATTTGAAATGCTAGGTGGAGTTTAGCTGGTACCCCTTTCTGAGCAGGGTGGTAATCTAGGTCGGGGCTGCTTAGATCCCTTGTTGGGTTTAAGTTATAAGTCCCCTCAGTGTGTCTCCTTTCATCTATATTTTTAGTATGTCATTTCTCTTAGGATAGTAATCCAATCTTTGATCTTTTAAACTCAAAATCTTAATCATATCTTTATTCATCTTAAAAGGTCTAGTCATCACTAAGGGTAAACAGAAGAGTTCATTTTTTTGGAATAGAACTTAGGAACTTTATCTGTGCACCAAATTAAGAAGTGAATAATATAACACCCTTAATCGAGAGTCTTCTTAGGTCAAGGCCTAGGATGTAATTAACCACGGGGGCTTGCGCCCGTGGGAGACCGATCCCCACAATCAAATAAACCCAATTCGAGCTGATGTATCGAATAGGGGAAATCTCGTGATTATGATTCGGGTTATACACATTATTATCTATCAAGGTGTGTAGGTGAAAGCTGCTATCCTCCATAGCTAAACATATGTATAACTCCACTGCCCTCCCATTGGCCTGCT